TGGGACATTGTTGATACTGGGTTTAAACTGTGTGCACCAGTGCAAAATAGACCACCTGGAAGACCAAGGAAAACTAGGATAAGGGAACAGGCAGAAGGAAAAGGTCTTGGAGGAAGGCAAAAGAAATGCAGTAGATGTGGCAAACTTGGTCACAGAGGCACCCATTGCAAAGAGTCAATTGATCTTGCATTTGGAGAAGATAAGCATTGGGGTGCAGAAAATGCTCTAGAAAATGCTCTTGCAATTGCTCCAAGCTCTCCACCATCTGCTACAACCTCTCTACCAACTACTCCAAGCTCTCCACCAGCTCCAAGCTCTCCACCAACTGCTCCAAGCTCTGCACCAGCTCCAAGCTCTCCAATAGCACTTGTCAGGTATGTTTTCTACTACATGTTCATGCATTCTTTGTGTAACTTCATTATTTCGTACTCATCTTGATTATTTAATGCTTCTCAGTCCAAAGAAATGTACTAAAAGAGCTGCTGAGAGAGGAACTAGGTGGGGATCACCACAGAAGAAGGCGAAAGGCGGCAACTCTGCTGTCAGCACAAGGAGCAAAGCTGCAAATCCTGCTGCCAACACTAGGAGCAAGAGGGCCAAACTAGTGTGATCAGCTTAATGTTGGTTCTGTTCAACTAGAGTGATGAACTGCTATGTTAGATGTAATGTGTTAACTGATGTGTGTTGCTTTGCATGTTGTCAAACTGTTGTGAACTCCTGTGTAATGTGCTCATATTTGCCTTGTGCTACACTTCTATGCTCATATTTGTCACTGTGCTACACTTCTGTGCTCCTATTTGTCCATGTGCTACACTCGTGTGCTCATATTTGCCCTTGTGCTATATTTGTGTGCTCATATTTGCCCCTGGATTGATATATATTTGTGCTCATATTTACCACATGGAAACATCACTAGCCAAAAGTACCCCAATGTGCATTCATACAGGATTTAAACCACATTAACAACATAACCATTATATAAAGGGACATTTCATAAAGGCTCCAGAACATAAAGGCTCCAGAACATAACATAAAGGCTCCAGAACATCTACTACAATTTCATAGTTCACACCATTATATAAAGGCTCCAGAACATAACAACATAACCTACATCAACAAACACTTCAATAGCCTAATTTGACCACACAGAAACAAGACTAGCCACAATGCTTATGCCAAGAACAATGACAAAGCACATTGTTTCCATCAGCTCATTCTTTTTCTTCAACTTTTGCTTCAACTTCTTGTTTTTAGTGGTAAGATCCACAACCCTCCTCTCCAGATTGCTTGCTTTGATCCAACTGTGTTCAAGGGTAGCATGTAAATCCTCAAAAGCAAGCCCAACATAGTCAGTAGGAGGGGGGTCAATCCATACAACCCAATCACATTCATCGGGAAGCTGCAAAAGCATAGTTCAAAAATAATGTCAAACTGAAACCTTAGCATCAATTCGACAAAAAGTATATCAAATTGAGGGAATTATAGCACTTACATCAACTGGACAACCCAAAAAACGTCTACCAGTGCTTGCTCCTCCCCAAGCTACACGGCGAGCCGGAACTAGCCCATGCCCTGGGCATCTACGCTTCGAGCGCTCCTCAAGGCCACAGAAGATGGGATTGGGAATGAAATGCTCTGAACTAAACTGCACAATGCCGCAACCATCCACCTACAAACAAAATCGGATGCACATGGCTAAAAAATCCCAAATCCGCACAAACCCTAGATCTGAAATCCCCAAATATGCAGACTTTACTAACCTCGTCCTCCGCGGCTGAAGTCGCCAAGCACTGAGCCGTCGAGAACATGGACGCCATCTTCCTTTCCTAGCTCTCCAGCACCGAGCTGTCGAAATCGCCTGAGCAGCCGCCTCCTCCTACACTTTGTTCTTAGCGTCGAGAGGAAGAAGAAAACCGAGAGAGATAACTGTTCGGTCAGCCCCCCACATGTAAGTAGGGGCAAACTTGTCCCAAAATTGTCCCTAAAACGGTCAAACCACTTTGACTGGACAGAAACGGCGTGGAGGGGTATTTCTGAAGTGGCACCAGACGAAAGAGGGGCAAAGTTGAGCACATGCTTTTTTTAGGGGTAAAGCTGAGACTGGGGCAAGATTAGGGGAAAAAATGGAATTGACCCTAATTTTAAACCGACCATTGGAGCACCACCTGCAGCTGGTTACTGAAACCCACTTGGCAGTCAACGGTAATCTGCTTCCTTTGATGTTCCAGGGCACTCAGGTCACCACATTGCAGAGAAGCATAGCTGATGCTAGGCAGAGCATCTAGCGTCCTACTAGTGTCGTCGGGCCCGCGCTGTTAACAGAGCCCTCCCTCGCTTCTTCCGCTTCATGTCTCCTTCCAACGAAATACGAAGGCTGCCTTGGCATCGTGAGTGGCATGGCCTCGTTTTCCGGCATAGAGACTACTAGCGACATGAGCGGCCTGCCACTCGGGCTGCCCTGAACGCACGATAATGCGATATGGATGCACAATGACACTTGATGCAGCGAGCAGCTGTTCAGCAGCACAGTATCTAGGAAATCCTTCGAGTTTCCTTCTTTCAGTAAGTTCCATGCCTGAAACATGGTCGATAATAAGTTAGTACCTACACTCGCTATGTTGTACTCCCTCTATATCAAAATATAAGAGTACATGAGCAGGCCAAATTCAAAGCATTTGGTAGTACTTGCATAATCTATAAGGTTTGGGAAATGTTGAGGTGAGCTCATCTTCAACCCACTTACGATCTCCAGTAGCAAGACCCCATAGCTATATGTGTCGGACTTGACCGAAAAAATGCCTTCCATCGCATATTCGGGTGACATGTAGCCGTTGTTTGAATAGTTCCACAAGTAAGTGTACAAGAATTAGTTAGTTGAAGCACATAAAGAGTTTTTAAGCATGTTTAGTCCAGTGCAGGAATTAATACTCACTATGTCCCAACAAAATGCCTAGTATTTGCTTGTTGCTGGTTGTCACCAAAGATCCTTGCCATGCCAAAATCTGATATTTTGGGTCTCATCTCCGCATCCAACAAGATATTGCTTGCTTTGAGATCTCTGTGAATTATCGTCATTCTAGAATCATGGTGGAGGTACACAAGTCCTCTAGCTACCCCTTTGATTATGCTAAACCTTGTTGGCCAATCAAGCATAAATCTTTTAGCATCATCTGTATGCCGACAATATGTTAAGTCTTAAAATCAGGCATGCTCATTTGCTCACCGTAAGAATCATTATACATGATTAGGACATACCAAATAGGAAGTAGTCTAAGCTTTTGTTGGGCAAGTATTCGTAACTAAGAAGCTTCTCAGCTCCATGGATGCAGTAACCAAGAAGTCTAACTAAGTTTCTGTGCTGCAGTTTTGCAATAAGAACTACTTCATTTCTAAAATGCCCCATTCCATGATCAGAACACTTGGTAAGCCTTTTAACATCAACTTCCTTGCCACCTTCCAGTGTGCCCTACATGGTTACATAATTCATATTAACAATGAAAGAATGCCTTTCACTACTGTAATCGTTAAGGTGACATTTATATTACCTTGTATACTACGCCAAAGCCTCCTCTGCCAAGCACATTGGAGTCAGAGAAACCATCTGTAGCAGGGACAATATCTTTGAAGCTGATCCACAAAATTTTTGAATTCTCATCGTATAGTCCATCAGAGTTGTCCAGTTGTTCTATCATTGCAAAATTCATGGGTCCCTTGGTTTGGTGCTTGCCTGTCAGTAGTTAATACGAGTTATGATAAGCACTAATGCATTAACATGACATGCACTTGGATACATAATCGAATCTTGTTCAACCTCTTGACTTGCGTATCCAGACAAGACAAACGCACACAAGTATCAGTAGACTTGCCATGACTGGGAGTGCAATCTTCAGCGCACCAGTCTTCTTACTGACTGCAAAAGACAATAGATAAAATACTTACTGTACAAAAAGTAGATTGAAGCACTGTGTATATCCAGGCCAACTATTGGTTTAGGTGGAAAGGTGAGGGGTGCAAAAGAGAAAGAAAATGGTAAAATTGAAAAACAAGATGAAGACTGCCAAATGACAGGATTATAGAGAAGTAGAATCTGAAAAGATGACTGATTTTCATGCAAGGTAGGACGAGCACAGCTGGTAGTAGTGAACATACGCATGTGAGAACAAAATATGTTAGTCCAAGTCCTATGATCATCCAACAGTGAATCTCGTCATGTGTCTTAGTGGTATAATTTTATTAGGAAGAATGTTTCAACTGAACATAACTGTAACTGCCACGTCTTTAATTGTACTGGGCTTTATTGGTATGATTTTATTAGCCACACACAATCTTAAGTTAATAGGCAATCTATCACACAGTATAAGCAATAAGATGGGAAATGAGCAAATACCAGATGAGCTGGGAATCCGGAGGTACAGATTCTCCCCACGACCATCACCACGCTTCTCCGTGTCAACAAGCTCCCCCATCCAAACTAAGCACCTCGACTGATCTACAGTCATACTGAGACTACTCAGGTTAGCGTAAGCATATGCGGTGCATGAGCAGTTGCGGCTGCATTCTTCTGCGCATTGGTCAAAGCTTCTATTCCTGATGAACAAGAACTTGTCGGGTGTCTTCATGTTAAGCAAGGTAATGAACCTATCTCCTTGACCACAATGCATCTCCTTCTTTCTCTGACATCCTAGGGAAAAGTTAAGACCACCAGGTTCATATCCATCGAGGCACTTGCATGTTGCAACCGTCTGTGTGGCATCGCAATAACCAAACGGGCGGCATGAGGCATAGCGATCACAGCTAGAACCGGGCCGCTCAAAGAAAACCTCCCAAGATAATGAGTTGCTGTTCCACGCCAGGAATTTTACCATACCCGTGTAGTGCAGGATCATGCGCGTCCTTGGCGAGCCGTCAGAGACAGTGTACGTAAAGTAGAACTCGCCCCCTCTGTTGAAAGTTGTTTGCAACATGATGGGACCTGAATTCCTCTGATACATGCATGGCGGAGACCAATACACCATCTAATGCAGCTCTGCGCCAGTATGGCCTCGTCCTATTCCAAACGAGGATCTGGAGGCTCGAGTCACCACCCAAAGAGTAGTCACTCGTAGATGGGTCATCAAAGGCTCTCCAGGCGACGAGGTGCATGAAGAGGTTGTTGTTACCAAGCGGTAAACTCATATTCGGGAGAATGGTGTCGGTTGGGTGATGGAAACTCTGCCATATATCAGTGCCATTTGGCAACCTGATGACCAAGTTCCCAGAGTCCAGCAGTATAGCAGCACTTCCGGCGGCTTCAGTGGTGATTTTGTTTGTGGTTGTCCAAAGAGTGCTTCCTTTGGAGTCTAACAAGACAAGATCAGAGCTTTTGGTCAAAACAAACTTACCAGAGGAACTGCTAGAGATTGGGCTGTCGCGGTTTGCCACCCACACGTATGTTCGCTCCGGGATGTTGTTGTACCATATGCCTATGTATGAGTTTGCACTTGAGTTTTTCGGGGAGAAGAAGCCAAGAGCAAAGATGCCACCGTCTGAGATGAGCCTGTCGCCGGGGGAGAGTGGTTTTGTGGGTGTTAGGCTATCTTCGGAGTTGCAGAAGCAAATCAAGAACATGAGGATAAAAACTGGGACGTATATCATGCCCATTAGGCCTTCTTTGCTTGCGATGACCAAAGGAAGGGGGTAGTATGTACGAAGATGGTTTGGATTGTTTTCCCCAAGAGGTAAAAACTACTAGAAAGTAGGAACATTGGTTGGACTTTTTGGTGCCTTCTATTTGGCTGGGTTTGCAATTCTGCATGTTTTCTGCATGTGTGGCTTGCCCAAGATAATTATAGATCTACTAAGTTTTGGTATTCCTGATAATTATAGATCCACTAAGTTTTGGCATGTGAGGTAGAAAGCCAAAACAGGGCCCAAGTTTTGGTATTCCTGATGTGTGGCTTGTCACATAAGCACGCACGCGTTCTATATCCAGTTCGCCGGACATAAAATAATAGGAAAGGTAAGTGACACAAAACCAAGAGGTGTGGGAGATGATTATTCAGCATTGCTTGCTGCTGGTCTCCGTGGGGAATTGAATGCCAAGAAATGGTCAAATGAATATCACAGGACAAAGTCGTGGCTGTGTTGCCTGATTGCGTCAAGCACGACCAAACTGGGCTGTGCCGATTTGCTTGCAGCCACCGCCCGGAGACCGTCGCAGTCTCTCATGAAGAAATATGTGCCATGCCAATCCAGAAACTTTGACCTGCACGGCATGCAGAGAAATTAACACAAGACTGGCATAAATATTCGGGATTTCAGCATGCAGCAGCAGCATCGCCGTCGTTCACAAGTACAGCGACAGGTAGGAAATGAGTTACCATCAGGTGGAGCTCCGTCTCCGTCGGGGTAGCTCGGCCGGGTCGCATCCTTTAGATTTTTTATATTGTTCCTTTATATATTTATTACTTACATATTTAAATTTCCTGAAATATGTATACTTATATTTAAAATTTCTAGGCACTGTTAAAAATTCTTTCCGCAACTTTTTAAAAATGTTCACGTGTTTCCAAAAACATGTTTGTGACAGTTTAAAAATATTTGTTTATGCAGTGTTAAAAGAATGTTCGCCAACTTTTAAAATATATTAGTGGAATTAAAAAAATCACCAGTTTTGAAAAAATGTTTGTGTAGTTCAAAAGAAATGTACGTCGTATTTTAAAAAATCTAGTGTTTCAGAAAATATGTCCGTGTTTTTTAAGTTTATACAGTGTTAAAAAAATCAACATTTATTTAAAAAATGGCTAACACACATTCAAAAAATGCTCACAAAGATGTATAGCTGGCCAAAGGGGCCGGCCCGGCCTGGCACGGCACGGCCCATCTTAATCGTGCCTTGCCTGGCCCGGCCCGCCGAGGCATGATTATTATACGGGCCGTGCCGTGCCAGCCCGCGTGCTGCAGCCTGCAGCCCAGGCACGGCCCACATGCTAATCGGGCCGGCCCACAGGCACGCTAGGCCCGCTAATCTGCCACCTATTTTGCGCACTGGACGTTTTTTTAGCCTATTTTTACCTGTTGGGCCACATTAGGATACATAAAAAATAAAAAAAGATAATCGGGCCGTGCTGTGCCTGGCCTGTGCCGTGCCGACGGTGCTACCGGGCCGGCCCAGCTATCCCGGCCCGTTTGGCCACCTATACAAAGATGTATTTGTAAAAAATGTGCATCATGTATTTGAGAAATGTTCAACGTGTATCAAAAAATGTTTTGCATCTATACAAAAAATATAGAATATGTATTAAAGAAAGCAGAAACATGGTGAAAGAAAAACTAAGAGAACTGATGAAGAAACACAAAAAACAGATGAAACAAATATAGAAAGCACCACAAACATGAAAAATAACTGCTAGATAATTTTTGCCGGGGAAAGGGGATGTTTTATTCTAGGCCTCACAAAAAAAATCTCCTACAGCTGTGGCATGTCGTGTCGTTTTCTTTTGAGAAATTTTAGACAAGTGTAGGTTCCGTCCCATGCCAGATCCTTTTATAGCTGGGTCGGCCTCTGGTCCATATGGCCAGGTCTGGAAGCATCGTCTACCTACCCTAATCCGCATCGCCACGGCATCTCAGATTCGCCCTTCCCATTCCCGAAATCCTTCACACGCACACGCACACGCACACACACCAAAAGACCAAAACAACATGAATTGTTACCCCTTCGAGGGCTCGTGCATCGGTCACTTTCTTGGGCCTCATAGCGTGTCAGTGGTGCGTCGAGCCACCACCATGTGTCGCACGACGGGTGCACCCTCGGGATTTCATTTTTGCACATGTTTTTGGGTTTTATTTGATTTTTTTATATTGAGGCTTTTGCTTCTGTTTTCTCTTGGTTTTGCCAGATTTTTTTCCCTTTCTTCGGGAAGCAGTGTTTTTTTTCATGAGAAACACAACATGTGCTTATGCGAGAAGAATAACTGTGCTTCCCTAAAAAGAAAAAAAGGTATAGTTGTAATTCCGTGAAAAGAGAAGGGAAGCATTGATGTGCTTCCCGAAAAAAGGAAAAACCACAACCGTGCTTTCCAAAAATGGAAAAGCACAACCTATACTTCCGCAAGAAGTGTCCTCCCTTACCCCCAAAAGTAAAAAGCACAATTGTGCTTCTAGGTTCCATTTATCCTTTTGGGCTCTGTTTGGAAGCAATGTTTTTGTAAAACCTTAGTATTCTGATACTGCAGTTTTTTATACCAACGACAATGAATACTTTAGTTTATGAAAACAACAATTTTTTAAAGTATTGTGGAAACAATGGCATGTTTGGCAATCAAAGTATACATCGTTGTCATAGGCCACCACAAAGACGAGGCCTTTGTTGTGTTTCTCAGTTTTTTAAAAAGAGGTCCCAACCTTTTTTTTAATACTGCAAAAATACTACAGTTTTGTGGATACTGCAGTTTATAATACTACAATTTTAACTAGAGCCAAACACCTCAAAGTATTTAAAACCATAGTATTTTAAAATACTGTAGTATTCTTGAAATACTTCAAAAATACTTTGCAACCAAACACAACCTTGGTTTTCATCGTTTTCCATTTTTTTCCATTTTTTGGAATTTCCTTTTTTTCCGTTTTGAGAAAAAAAAATGTTTGTCAAAACCTATTAACATGGTTCGTAGTTCCAGATCTCAACGCGATAAGTTCAATGATAAAAAACAGTTCATGATTTATATGCACGGTTCAAGAGAGACGATGTTTTGAAAAAAAAACCGAACCTGCGAAAAAAAGAGCAAAACTTCCAGATAGCGACAAGTAAGGCACATGCAGTACATCACTTGTTACAGTATATGAGAGTGTCCTTTGCAAGAGGTACATTTTAATGGCCTCTTTGATTAGCGGGATTCTGAAAACGCGACAATAAGAAAAGTATAAAATTGAAGTGGCAGGCCCAGTTGAATCATGTATGATCAGTAAGGAGTGTTTGATGCCACAGGTAAAACAAAAAAATTGTGGTTGGAGTGGATGTTAGATTTCCTATGAAATGTAGTACAAAAGATTCAATACGAAAAATGTTCCATGGGATCCAATCTTATGAATAAAGGACCAAGATAAGAAAAACTCATAAGAATTTCAATCCTTATAGAATTCTTTTGAATCAGAGGAGCCTATAATTTTTTTTTGAGAAAAATCAGAGGAGCCTAATTAGATTTCCACAGCTGTGCCAGGCCGTGTTTGTTCTCAAAAGCCATGTCTTGCCGGACCCTTTTTTATAGCTGGCCCGCGCCATGCCGGGCCGGGCCGGCCCATATGGCCAGGTCTGGCCAGCACCTACCGCACCGCACCGCATATCGCCGCGGCATCTAGATCCGCCCTTCCCATCCCCCAAATCCTCCACACACACCAAAGACCAAACACACTACCAGCCATGGCGCTCCGCACATTGGCCGCGAAGAAAACCCTAGGCCTGGCGCTCGGCGGCGCGCGGCCGCTGGCCGCCGCCAGGGGCGTGGCGACGTTCACGCTCCCCGACCTCCCCTACGACTTCGGTGCGCTGGAGCCGGCCGTCTCCGGCGAGATCATGCGCCTGCACCACCAGAAGCACCACGCCACCTACGTCGCCAACTACAACAAGGCGCTCGAGCAGCTCGACGCCGCCGTCAGCAAGGGGGACGCGTCCGCCGTCGTCCACCTCCAGAGCGCCATCAAATTCAACGGCGGCGGTAAGACCCTTTCCCAGTGCTTCTCATCTGGATGCTCCCTGAGATTCGTTCGGATGCTCCTTTGATCGATTGCTAGTACAGGGCCGGAGGAATTGATGCGGGGATTAGTGCGGTATCGAGTACCAGACGAGTATCTGCAGAGTGAAAAGCGAAAAAAATCAAAGAGATAAGGGCAACATCGTGGCGGCCTCGGCCGCAACAGTGACGTACCGTCATTTATTTTCGCAATTAATTTATTTTCGCAATTTATTTTCGCGATTCTGTGGGATTTTCCTCTAGCTGCTCCCCAGCAGCATATCTGAACCTTGTGGTGGTCTGTAGTTCTGTTGGGCGATAACCAAGCAGAATACTACAATTCTTAGTAGCAGTTATCCTTGTCACATGGTTTCATGTGCCTTTCCGGGCAGTTAACTAAGAACGAAATCTATCAAATTTGGACAAAAAATGGTTTTGTCATTCGAGCTGTCATTATTATTTTGAAACCGAGACTAAGGTAGGGCACGCTGGAGCTGTCCATCTCCTGGGAGATCATGCACCTGCACCCCAAGAAGCATCACGCCAGTTATGGTGGCAGTAAGACCCCCTGCCGCGCTTCTCCTGTGGTTCGTCTAGATGCTCTGATCGCTAGTATGGTGGTGACGCCGATGTCGGAATTTTTTTTTATGAGTTGATGTGGAGTTATTGCGTTTGTTTATTAATACTGATCTATGATGAAGAGTGTTATGCTCCCGAGTGTAGTATTGGTTGGTGCTTTTAGGATCCTATCATTTCTAGGGTTTTAGATGGTGGGTTTTTTCTTATAAGTCTTGGTTTTATGTTAATTCGTGTTTGGCTGGTCAAAAAACCACTAATTTGGAAACATTGTTTACGCCTTTCTTTGATTAGATATAGATAGTGCTGCTTCGTGATATCTGAAGTGGTTGCTCCTGAGTGCAAAATTTCATGACTTGTGCATTCTGTGCGTATTAGGAGTTTTGGGTTATTATTTGGTTTATTGGTGTTAACTTGGTTGTGCTTTTATTGATTTTTTTGGCACAACTGCTTTTATGGATTCGTTGCCATATGGATCCTTAATTGCAAGTACTTGTTAGTATCATTAGCTATATGCATAATTTAGGTGGGGATGTCTGGTAATACATTTTTTTGTGTTTCATCCATAATCATAATTGTGACTTGGTTGCAAGTTGCAGCTGTTGAAGGGGTCATTGTAGTGGATGTTCATGTGTATATTGGTTGGTTCATTGAGATATTCCTAGCACTGATGTTGTGAACTGTGCTGAATTTTAGGACATGCTGAGCTTCAATTTTTTTTTGAATTACTGATACTGGTGCTTGATGCGGACAAACAGTATAAGTGTCAATGTTATAAAAGTATGAATCCAAGGTCTGCTGATATTTTGTGTTTTGCTCCACTTGGTTTTGTAGTTTGAAAGAATTGCTTGACATGCCCATTGCTTCATTGCTTCTTTCGCAAAATCGACCATGTCACAACCTATTCAACCTTGAGTATTGCCCTGGAGGTTTCCTTTCAATTTTATTAAAAAAAATCTAGGGATTTGAAACTAGTTGAACTTCTATATTTGGGGATTAGGTGCTTGTGGCGCTTCGTGGTTTGATTGATACCTTTGACGATACCTTTTTTTACTTCTGATGGAACCATGCCAAACTATAGTTTTTGTGCGTGCATCGTTAGCTACTGAGACACAAAAATAGAGTGTTATTGGATTCTATTCCCTGCTCATATCTGCACATTAAAGTACTCCCTCCGTTCCATATTACTTGTCACTGATTTAGTATTACAACTTTGTACTAAATCAGCGACAAGTAATATGGAACGGAGGGGGTAGGAATTAAGGATACTACCATGTGACAAATGAGATGCATAATTTTATGCTTCTGCTAATAATTCCATCGATACTCGTATGCATTCGACCTGGCTTCTCACTTCATTTTATTATGTCCTAACTATTAAAATTGTTAACAATACCAAGAAACTGTGCGACTAGAGAATTCGTAAGGATGTGATGCTGAACCTCTACAAAAATGACGACCTGGAATAAATTCATTGGCTTGATATTGTAAATATGACATTCGTCTAAGCCTATCATTTATTAATGTAGGCGATTTTTTACCATGTTGCAGGTCATGTTAACCATTCAATCTTCTGGAAGAACCTCAAGCCTATTAGCGTAAGTATCTAACCGATACCCTTTTGCTCAACCACAGCCCTGCCCTCGTTCTCTTTTTTTTTCTGTTAAGACCTCCACCATTTCAAACAGTTAAAATGTTTGGTGCTTTACAGGAGGGTGGTGGTGAGCCACCTCATGGCAAACTTGGCTGGGCCATTGATGAGGATTTTGGTTCTATTGAGAAACTTATAAAGAAGATGAATGCAGAGGGTGCTGCTTTACAAGGATCTGGATGGGTGGTATGTACTTTATGCACTGTCTCGTCCGCATTACACAGTATTTTATCTGGTGAAGGTGCTTTGTTAATATTCACATGTTTGTTATGCAGTGGCTAGCTTTGGATAAAGAGGCCAAAAAGCTTTCAGTTGAAACTACTCCTAATCAGGTGAAAGTTCTCATCCTTACTTGGATCATAGATTCGTAGTGTTCCTAAAGGACAGTTTATACAGTCTTCACACTAATTTACAATTCAATTCATTTCTACCATTTCCCCGTTATGCTGCCAAAGTGCCAATGCTTGTTGGAAGAATCAGTAATTAATCCATTCTTAAGCAACTAAGCATGCAGTTAAAGATAACCATATTTCTGAAAGGGCGATATTTCTCAGTGCTCTGTACCGTTGTGAAGATCACCGAGTTGTCACTGCGATGTAACCCCAGGCCTCATATGTCATCCTCACTTTTGTTGGTTTTTAATTGATGGAGAAATGGTCACTAGTGAAATATCATAAGTAGTAGGATATTCAGTAAAAGCAGTACACATGCCATGGGAACTAATTTCTGGGGCTGTTGATGTGACAAACAGGGTAGAAAAAAACAGATATGACAAACAGGGGTTGTGTTCTGGAATTCAGTAGTCACCTGCTGCAAGGCCGTAGAGTTCTTTATGAGATAAAAAGGATATCAAGCTTCAGTTTGATTAATAGTTGACATTAAAGCAAATCTTATACATTGACTTATAAACATTTACATGCCTGTCGTTTTGTTTTTTCCTTTAATTCTGCACGTAGTGTCTTGATGAGACCAATTTATTTTTAGCTGAGCTATGTGAAATTGCAACCCTCACAATCTCCACGAAGGCATTTATAGTTTGTTTTGCATCCTACTTTGATCAACTTAAGAAGTTTTTATTACCATGTCGAAACTTTGTGTATGGAGTTATGGCACTGCGAATAATCCCCCCGTGTGGTGCCTGGGGTTGCCAGTAGTTTTTTTTTTTCCTTTTCATGCTTCAACTTTTGAGGTAATTTTCATGTGCATACAACTTACTTATTGGACCTTGCAGGACCCTCTTGTGACCAAAGGGTCAAACCTGTATCCTTTGTTGGGAATTGATGTCTGGGAGCATGCGTACTACCTGCAGGTAATCTCATTTTCTAACCGAAGGCTATTCTATTTGCTCTATTGAGCTGTAATGTTGGTGATGTTGCCATCCTTCTTTTTTCAGAATCTGCCTCATATAACCATAGTTGATAAGATTTCACTTGGCCCACTTGGTCTTTTCTCTTATTATTTTCCATTGTCCCGCATTAGTAGTGTTTCTGTGACAAAGCTATTGCCTGAAAACTATCCAGCCATTTTGGACATGCTAATTCCCAGTACCGTAGGAGTCACAGTATTCCCTATGGTATACCTGCATTTTTACAAGGTCCTTGCTGAAAGCAAGACTAGTAGAGCTCATGTCCCTCTTGTTAAAAGAAAACACGAGTATAACAGGAGTGATATCAGTGTGCTCCATGGTTATATGTCAAAAAGGTTGCAAGAAATATGGTTGTATATGAAGGTTAACTTTGCAATGGTCCTGTTGTGGTAGATTTAGATGTATGCAGCCTGAACGGGAAAGAATCAAAGCATAATCATCAACTCAGCATATCAACCATTGTGTTGAACATACTCCCTCCGTCCGAAAATACTTGTCATCAAAATGACTAAAAAGAGATGTATCTAGAACTAAAATATGTCTAGATACATCCCCTTTTATCCATTTTGATGACAAGTATTTCCGGACGGAGGGAGTATGTGCCAAAAATGTTTAATGCACGGGGGGCGTAGCAGCCACTATAGTATTATTCTGCCGGTCTAATAAATTGTTATTTTTATATTTTTATTGAGATGAATGGAAATTGAAAGATCTCTTTGCCAGTGCTAAGCGTATATTGTTATTTGTGATTGCAGTACAAGAACGTGAGGCCGGACTACCTGACCAACATCTGGAAGGTGGTGAACTGGAAATATGCCGGAGAAGAGTATGAAAAAGTGCTTGCGTGATTTGTCTGATGAGTAGACAGACGGTACTTTGCTCGCTCTTGAGTTTGTATATGCAGTAATAAAAGTGGGCACTATTCCACTGCCGGGATCGTCTGTACATTGCATAGAGGTGGACTACTGTCTAATGCGCACTACAGTGCCTGTCCATTTTGGTACTTGTTACTGTGCCTGCTGTGGCTAATAAACTCATTCGCTAGTGCTGTTGCTGTCCTTGTGTGCACGTATTGGTATGGATGGATGAGCTTTATGAAATAATCTGCCGAACTTTTGATCTTGTGGTGAAGTTATCATGCATGGATTAAGCACACCAAGCATACTTCTACTGATTTGGGTGTGCAGTATGCCAGTATTGATCTAATCTTGCTACTGTCCTGATTTGGGTGATAATTTTCAAACGAACTCTGTCGGCCTAGCTTTCTCGCGCGCTGTCATTAGCAGGCGTTTATAATTTTTTTTTGAGATCAATTAGCAGGCGTTTATAAGTAGGACGCGTCTAGCGAGCGGCAGGGCGCTCGCTAGCGCTCTGCAGCGGCTGCCACTTTTAGCAAGTTTATATCCTCATCAAACAAAAAAGGAAAGATTATTTCCTATTGTACAAAAGGTAGAAAGGGCATGCAACATGTTTTTAATTACGGATTGGAAAGCAACTAGGTGTGAACACAATAATTTAGAGTTCCTTTTTATTTTAAAAGCCATAACTTTAGAACCAAACATCGAAATTAAGATCCGCTTTCACCGTTGGAACCCTTACGACGTGCTCTTCGAAACTAGATCCCGCATGGGTATGTTTTGATGAATTTTTTGTGTGCAATTTAGTACCTAGTTTTGTGCAACTGCTTAGTAGTCGATGTGCAACTAGCAGACCGTGGATGTGCAACTTCCCGCCTACCCCGTGGATGTGCAGTTTTCACTAATGTCACCTCCACCCCCTCAAACTACCCCTTCCAGTGAGATGAGCAATTTCGTCCGTTGCTCGGGCCAACTGCCTAGTAATTGACGTGCAACTTTCCGCTTGCCCGTGGATGTGCTTTCACTATTTATTGCCTCCGCCAACTTTCTATTAGTGGTTGTGCAACTTCGGATACTGCCACGGCCAACTGTCTAACAGTGATTTGTAACTTTATCCTATACCCCATGGATGTGTAGTTTCCCTTCTAGCACACGGTCCAAACCACCCCTACTAGTGAGATTCACGACTCGCACTCTATGTATATGTAACTTTTCACAACCCTCATGAATGTCAATTTTTTACCATTCAACTGTCCTTGCTTGTGAGATGTGCAACTTCGTATGTTGCTCTGGCCAACTACCTAGCAGAGTATGTGCAACTCTGTTTGTTATCCCCGCCAATTGAAAATACGTGTCCACAAATAGGAAGGGGAAGGAGTTGCACATTGACTAATAGGCAGTTGGCTTGAACAATAGACTAAGTTGCACAAATCGCTTGCAGGGGAGGTGGGAGTAGGGTGCACCGACAGTGAAAACGACGCATCCACGAGTAGGGAGGAGGGTTGCACAACGACTACTTGATAGTTGGTCGGGATAGTAGACTAGTTGCACATTAAAGTTGTCATGGTTGCTACATTGCAACCTCATGAAATCCAAAAATTGGTTTTGAAAAAAGTTGCACGATGTAATACTAAAGTTGCACAATACAGTACTAAAGTTGCACAATATAGCACGAAAGTTGGCATCGAAAAAAATTCGTCGAAACATGCCCATGCGGGATCTAGTTTCAAAGATCTCGTCACGAGGAATCCAATGGTGAAGACAGATCTGAATTTCGATGCGTAGTTTAAAAGATATGGGGTTTTAAAAAATTGAAAATCTGAAATAAATACACGTTGATCTGTTTTTTTCATTCACATATAGTATAAGTCTGATCGCAGTTAATGCCATCAATCACATGCACTAAGAGACAAAATATGCCCATGCATGCATTCAATAAGTAAGGGAGCCAGCGTAATATGCGGACAAGAGCCAGCCGCTCGATTCGCCTAAATAGTGCGTAAGCACTTTTTAGATTTCAGGTTATAAGTAAGTATGGAAAAGGAAATAAAGTGCTAAGGTACTACCGGGCCGATGCACTGTCCAGGGACATTACTGTGTTGGGGAACGTAGCAGAAATTCAAAATTTTCCTACATGCCACCAAGATCTATCTATGGAGAAACCAGCAACGAGGGGAAGGAGAGTGCATCTACATACCCTTGTAGATCGCTATGCGAAAGCGTTCAAGAGAACGGGGTTGAAGGAGTCATACTCGTCGTGATCCAAATCACCGGAGATCCTAGTGCCGAACGGACGGCACCTCCGCGTTCAACACACGTACAACCCGGTGACGTCTCCCATGCCTTGATCCAGCAAGGAGAGAGGGAGAGGTTGAGGAAGACTCCATCTAGCAGCAGCACAACGGCATGGTGGTGGTGGAGGAGCGTGGTACTCCAGCAGGGCTTCGCCAAGCACCACAAGAGACGAGGAGGAGAGAGGTAGGGCTGCGCCAGGGAGAGATCAAATCGTGTGTCTTGGGCAGCCCAAAACCCCCACTATTTATAGGAGAAGGGGAGGAGGGTGCGCCCCCTCTAGGGTTCCTACCCCTAGGGGGGCGGCAGCCCTAGATGGGATGGAGGGGGGCGGCCAAGAGGGGGAGAAGGGGGCGCGCCCTAGGGTGGGCCTTAGGCCCATCTGCGCCTAGGGTTTCCCCCTTCTCCTCCTAGCTGCACCTTGGGCCTTGTGGGAGGCGCACCAGCCCACTCAGGGGCTGGTCCCTTCCCACTCTTGGCCCATGCAAGCCTCCGGGGCTGGTGGCCCCACTTGGTGGACCCCCGGGACCCTTCCGGTGGTCCCGGTACGTTACAGATAAAACCCGAAATTTTTCCGGTGACCAAAACAGGACTTCCCATATATAAATCTTTACCTCCGGACCATTCCGGAACTCCTCGTGACGTCCGGGATCTCATCCGGGACTCTGAACAACATTCGGTAACCACATACAAACTTCCTTTATAACCCTAGCGTCATCGAACCTTAAGTGTGTAGACCCTACGGGTTCGGGAACCATGCAGACATGACCGAGACGTTCTCCGGTCAATAACCAACAGCGGGATCTGGATACCCATGTTGGTTCCCACATGTTCCACGATGATCTCATCGGATGAACCACGATGTCGAGGATTCGATCAATCCCGTATTCAATTCCCTTTGTCTAGCGGTATTGTACTTGCCCGAGATTCGATCGTCGGTATCCCGATACCTTGTTCAATCTCGTTACCGGCAAGTCTCTTTACTCGTTCCGTAACACATCATCCCGTGATCAACTCCTTGATCACATTGTGCACATTATGATGATGTCCTACCGAGTGGGCCCAGAGATATCTCTTCGTTTACACGGAGTGACAAATCCCAGTCTCGATTCGTGCCAACCCAACAGACACTTTCGGAGATACCCATAAGGCACCTTTATAGTCACCCAATTACGTTGTGACGTTTGGCACACCCAAAGTATTCCTACGGTATCCGGGAGTTGCACAATCTCACGGTCTAAGAAAATGATACTTGACATTGGAAAAGCTTTAGCATACGAACTACACGATCTTGTGCTAGGCTTAGGATTGGGTCTTGTCCATCACATCATTCTCCTAATGATGTGATCCCGTTATCAATGACATCCAATGTCCATGGTTAGGAAACCGTAACCATCTATTAATCAACGAGCTAGTCAACTAGAGGCTTACTAGGGACATGGTGTTGTCTATGTATCCACACATGTATCTGAGTTTCCTATCAATATAATTCTAGCATGGATAATAAACGATTATCATGAACTAGGAAATATAATAATAACTAATTTATTATTGCCTCTAGGGCATATTTCCAACACACTGTTCAATAAATATTGTGATGTCACCCTCATTTTTTTTGTGATGATCCATTTGGAAAAGGTTGCAATGATCCGGAGGCGCGTCGGTTCACGTCAGCTCGATCTTTTTCCTTTCCTTAAGTCCACCTAGAAAGAGGGAGGTTCATATTACAACCTTGAACTGCCATCAGAATATAATATACAACACTGAAATATAAGAAACCTTGAACTTTTAAAACCGGACAAGAAACAAACTTGGAGGACCGGTTTGAGACTGATTTTGGCTGCGCGCCGTTAATCAATGAAAAGAATTAGGATATAAGATGCCTTTAGATGTCTCTTTAGAAGAAAAAATGCCTTAATCGAAAAACCATAAATTTAAAATAAACCTGACCACCTTGGCATTGCGCCATAGGGCCTTTTCCTGCGTCGAACAAACCTAGGCCGGTGTGAGAAAAATAAACTCAAATGTTCAGTGTGGTACTACTCACGCCCGAACGCGACACTCCGAGGTTTATTTACCCACCGAGCCAGCCGATGGACTGGCACTTGGATTGTCCCCTCCACCACCAGAGTGACGAATGGAGGAGAGACAAATCCCCAAGCTCGCCAACAGAGATTGAGATAAAGAAGGCTTTGACCTGGTCGCCTTACTAGAAGGTAAAAAAAGCGTCGCGCCTACTAGATTTGTGTATATAAGTCATTTAGGACAACTTGGTTTTTCTAAATAGGATATTAGAGAAATATTGTGGTTTTATTTAGAAGCCACTATTCTAAACAATCTGATGTGGTTGATATCAATAAATTATAAGTAGTTTCATAAAACTATAGTATGTATCTCTAATATTCCATCCGTACCAGTGCATAAAGTCATCTTAGGTTGTTCACAGCGACCAAGGTGCATGGAAAACGAGAGAACTTAATATTTATTTGCTAATTAATACCAATACATGCAATGAACTGACCACTGCATGCCGTGCTAGGTAGTCTCAAGTCATTGAAAGTATACACGCTTCACATCTTTTATTGGTTGATTCTTTTATTCATGTCAAGAAACAAAAAACAAGGTGGAAGTTAATGCACCGCGTCTAAGTGTTTCAAAATTATTTGGTTTTCGTAATGTGTCTAATGCACCGGTACGAA